AACCCTGAGTGCTCACTGGAAGGACAGATCCTGAAGCTGAGGCTCCAGTACTTTGGCCATCTCATGAGAAGAGAAGACTCCTTGGAAAAGACCTTGATGTTAGGAATGTGTGACGGCAAGAGGAAAAGGGGATGACAGAGGATGAGATGGCTGGACAATGTCTGCGAAGCAACCAACATGAAATTGACAGAACTCCGGGAGGCACTGGAAGATAGGAGGGCCTGGCGTGCTGTGGTCCATGGGGTCACGAAGAGTCAGACACGACTAAACGACTAAACGACGAGCATGTTGTACTACATAATTATCAGCTGACTTGCATATCATGTTCAGAATCATTAGTTGAAATTGATTGTGTATTTTTTTTCAGTTCTCATTTCCTACTCTGCATTTGGCCATGTTTGCGATGTTTCAGTGTATAGCCTATTATTTTTAAAGAACTACAAATTCTTAAATATAAATATGATTTTTATGTTCAATTTGTTTCTCCCTAAGCTGTGTAGAAGGGACTTGAGGCTCAACAATGGAATATAAATAAATAAATAAATAAATAAATAGATAAATAAATAAATAAATAAATAAATAAATAAATAAATAAATAAATGGAATACTGAATCTCTGTATCTAATATTACTACTGGTCATTAACTGCAAAAATGTGCAGAATAATGCTTTTTGAACTACTTTAAACTTATAGCTCTGACTCTGCAAAGACATCAGCAGGATTCATACTGGCAGAAAGATATAGTTTATTACTTATTAAGTTGGTTGTTGTGGGTTTTTCAGATTCTTTGGTTGTGTTCTGAAGGTTGTTCTTACTAACGTTTCGCCAGTCTCTGTGGCCGGCATCTTCAGAGGACAGGAGTAGACATTAGATCCCGGCCGTGAAAGCCTTCGCAAATGCTTATTAATTTATTTAAATTTATTAAGTTCTGCTTACGAAACCGTTTTAAAATGTTAGAAATTTAAAATACAATATGGTTATAAATATTAAAATAGCTATGAATTCATTATGTTATTAAAATACAGCTAAAATACTTTGAAATCTCTTAAAATATTGATACTGGCTTACTTTTTTAAAAATAGAGAAGCCAGTGTATTTACTAAAATCCTGAGGGTCCACTTCTCCAAGGATCCTGTCCACATTTATAGACTATGCAAGTTGAAACATACCTTTTATTACTGGACAAGGACAAGCCAATGTTACATCCACTTCATTGCTTCAGTTACAGCATCCAAATCAGAACAGATTTGAGCTATTTATCTCCAAAGGGCTGTTGAGTAGTCTATGCTTTCCTCATGTGGGCTAAAGCACTATTATTATTCTTTGGATTATTTTGTGATGTAGTTTTGTAATTCTCTGATGAAGTACTTAAACTGAACTGGTATCCAAAGTTTTAAGTCCAAATTACTGAGGCTAAATTAATACACTGTTAGCAGTGTCTGTAGAAGAATGTCCAGCCTGACAGTTCTACATGTCACAGAACATTGGATGCAGTTTATCAGACTTGGGTATAATGAGAATAACATGAGATAAGCCAATTTTACTGTGTTTGGGGGTGCTCTGCAAAGTGGGTCCCTGGCTGTCTTTCAAAGTCCATTGTCAGCACTGGCTATGTTGTACAGTGGTGCCCCGCATAACGAGCGATTCGTTTAATGACAAATCTGCATAGCGATGAGTTTTTTGCGGTTGCAAAAGTGATAGCATAACGATGTTTTCAATAGCAAAACATGGCTTTGCAATGATCGGTAAGCGTTTCTCATAACAATGTTTTAAAAACAGCTGATTTCTCCTATCTGGCTGCGTTGCATTGGATGCCCATTTGGTTCCGCGTTGACTTCCAGCGTTTTGATGCTTATGTTTAAAGCCCCAAACGGATTAGGGCCTCGATACTTGGCGGAACGCTTCCTCCTACCCAGTTCTACCCGTGTCATTCGCGCGAGTCAGGAGGTGAGGTTGAGGAGCCTGATGCCGAGGGAGGCCCAGAAGGAAAAAACAAAGTAACTGGGCCTTTTTGGCGGTGGCTCCTCGCCTCTGGAACAACTTACCTCCTGAGATTCGCATGGCTCCCTCGCTGGGTATTTTCAAGAAACAACTGAAAACACGGATGTTTAGGCAGTCCTTCCCCCCTTCCAGTTAATTCCTAATTATTCTTTCTTTCCTATTCTGTTATAATATACCCTGTTTCTTGCCATCTTGGGGGGAAAATTTTATTTCTTTTTATTTATGCAAATTATGTTATGTGCTATGCTATAGGTCTAATTGTTTTTATAGTGTGTGTTGTAAGCTGCCTAGAGTGGTCGCAGTTGACCAGATAGGCGGGGTATAAATGAAACAAACAAACAAACAATATCGTGTTGTCAAATTCATTCTGAGGTAGGGCGATTCTTTCCAGTGTTTTCTGGCCGTAGAGTATGCAGGTTATTTTTAGATTTTCATACCTGTTGAAGGAGATAAAAATACGATCATGTTCAGTATCTTAAGTTTAGACGCTTTCACTGCTTCACCTGGCTATATCCATTAATCCCTTTGTATCTTATTTGCAGTCTTAAAGTAAGCTGAAATTTACTCCACCCTAGTAGGATTATTTTACTGTTAATAAATAAGCTCACTGTTGTTGATTCAGTGTGGATAATATTTCTGCTCTGTAGAAAACAAAGAAGAGGGTAATCATGTTTATATAAAATTAAGCTGGAGATTAATATGTTTTTTTCACACATTACCTCTCTTAAGGTCTGATAATGGACTTAGAACCTGCTTTTGCTGAGTAAGCTCTAGTTATTTTAGTTAAGCACTGTGCATAGACCTTCAATATTTAAAATACTATTAATTTTGTGTATGTTCATACACAATTATATGTGTTTTGAAAAACTATCTGTCAAAAAGCTACTGAGCCTTATTAATGATAAACTTTAATAAATACAGCATTTCTATATAGCCATCTCCACCTGTAATAGTTATTTTTCTTTTTTTCCTAGGGTCCAAACGAATAAGTGATAGTGAAGTCTCAGATTATGACTGTGATGATGGTATAGGAGTCGTGTCAGGTAACAGCATTTAAATTTGAAAAAGTTAATTTGCTATGATAAATGCAGTTCTTGTCCTGTGTTTATGAATATGTTCTCTTGCTCATTTGATGGGAACTACCTGCCAGTGGGACTTGGAAAGAATTTATATTAGTTCTTTTGTCTTTTCACAATATCTGAAAGGGATTTGTTACAAAATATGGACTGTATTTTGCAATATTTATTTCTGAAAGTCAGTATGTTGCAATTTGAGGCCTTTTGCAATACCTGTGGAAATAATAAAGCAATGACATCAACTAGAGCAGTGGTCCCCAACCCTGGGCCCCCAGATGTTCTTGGACTTCAGCCGGCTTCAGTGCTTTTGAAGTCCTTTCCGATGTCTGTTTTCACTCATTTTTAAGTGTGTTACAATGTTTGGAACCTGTTTTAAATGCTTGCAATCGTTAGCCCACCTCCTGAACCCTATGCAACCTTAATTTGGTGTTGTTCTGAGTCGTCCCAACATATAAAACGGACCATTCAAAGGCTTTCAATTTAAAATTTAAAAAATCACCAAAAATTAACAACGACTCAGAACAACACCAAATTAAGTTTGCATGGGGTTCAGGAGGTGGGCTAACGATTGCAAGCATTTAAAACAGGTTTCTAACAGTTTAAGACACTTTTACAGGAGCGAAAAAGGGACATCGTTAAGTGAAATTCCCCCATAGAGAACATCGTTAAACGATGGGGGAAATTCCTCAAAGAAACCCATCGCTGTGTGAATTCATCGTTGTATGAAGCAATCGTTGTGCGAGGCACCACTGTCGAATAATAGAGATAAATCTTTTTGTCATGAGAGGGAATGCCAGTTTTCCTTGCTTTGGTTCCAGGGTGAGGCTTATAGAGTGCCATTGGCATAAATGCAATTCCCTCTCACCAACACTAGTATTTTGTAAAACTTGAATTCTTGTATCAGATGATTGTCCTGTCTCTTGTGCCATATTTTGATATATATTATTGGTATGTATGATATCAACATGAAGGAAGAAATAATAGGGGCTGAATGCTATATTTTCATGGGTATGTAATATTAAGTACTCAGAGTGATGAATCAGAAGGAGATATATCTGGCAGCTTAGAGGCAAGAACCCTTCTAGGAAACAATACATTTTGGGAGCTAGAGGGTTTCAAGTTGTAATTAGCAGGTGTGATTTTTTGTAATTTATTTGCTCTTAATAACTACTTAGTAGTTTATATTCTAATTTTATGTGAAAGGATCTCATTATCTTTTGAAAAATATTGCAACACTAAGTTTTCCAAATAAGATCTCTCTCTCCCCACCTCTCCCCACTAACCCCCCTTCAGATGGTAAATATTCAGTACCATAGACCAGTGGTCCCCAACCTTGGGCCTCCAGATGTTCTTGGACTTCAGCTCCCAGAAATCCTGGCCAGCAGAGATGATGGTTAAGGCTTCTGGGAGTTGTAGTCTAAGAACATCTGGAGGCTCAAGGTTGGTGACCACTGCCATAGACTGTGTGCCAAGGGAGTGCTGAGTTTCTTTGTATCATGCAGTAATACCCAGTGCAGTAATAATTTTTCCTTTTATGTGAAATTTTGACTATAAATTTCTGGCCTAGAGTGCAGCTTATTAAAAATTGCCAAACAATGAACTATGTTTTTAATAATCTAATTAAATATTCCATAAAGATGCTTCTGTTTATTGGTGATTTAGCGGTACTCAGATAATTAGTATGCTGCTTCAAATTACAAATAACAGTAGTGTTTTTGGGAAGGAATTGCAGCTTTATCAACTGCATTGCATAAGCCTACTTTAAGAATGCCCCTAGAATAAAGTCCTCCCCCACCCCCGCAATCTCAAATATTGGGTGATGTTTATGGGTACTGTGCAGTTCCACTTGTGATTAGGATTCTCATGGTTGTATTCAGGGAAAATGGAAAAGAGACAAAGAAGTAATGTAATGGCATTGCTATTATACAAGGGAAGGTCTCGGGCGATAGAGTTGAGTTTTTGGGAGTAGGAACGGACCACTGACAAAGACACAGCCTGTAGGTCATACTGGCCTACACCAAACATCAGATTTTCTATATTCTAGAGAAAAGGGGGAAAACACAGGTGAACAATGCCTCTTGTCTGTGTACAAAAAATAAGATGGAATGAAATATAGGTATTTCATAGTAAATGCTCACCATAAAGTTGAAGAGTAATGTAGCTTTCCCCCCAAAAGTGGCGCAGTGGTTAAAGTGCTGTACTGCAGCCAAAACTGTGCTCACGACCGGTAGCCGGCTCAAGGTTGACTCAGCCTTCTATCCTTCCGAGGTCGGTAAAATGGGTACCCAGCTTGCTGGGGGGGGGGGCAATGTGTAGCCTGCATAATTAACTTGTAAACCGCCCAGAGAGTGCTTGAAGCACTATGGGGCAGTATATAAGCAGCACGCTTTGCTTTGCTTTGCTTTGCTTTGCTTTGTTTCTAAAATGATGGAGTTTGCGGAAAACTGGCTTTTGCAAATGTCCCATAAACAGCAGGCATTGACTGATGTATTCCATTATTAATAGAATTTTAAAACTGATGTTAGATTTCTCATATCTAACAAATTATTTATATAGATTTATATGTTGGGATACTAAACATTCCTTCTCTGCTCACAGCATTCTATATTAACACTTGTTCACATAGCAGCAGGGAGAAGGAGGACATTTTGAGGTACCTCTGCTCTTATCATGTCTCCTGCAAATCTAGGCAGCCAGAGCAGACTAGATCTACTGTAAGAAGCTGGAAATAAAGCTGAAATGAAAACTCCTTCCTGTCTCTCTGCTGATTCATTACCCCTTTGGACACCTAGCTGGCTTAGAACTAGGACATCAAGCTTTTAAAAGAAAGAAAGAAACCATAACGGGAATGGAAGAGGGAAACAAGTACACCAGGGCACAAAGTGTGGGAAAGAGAGGATTCAAACTGTTAACAAGCTGCAACAATACTGATATCCTCCCTGTCCCTCATCTGACAAGTGTGTGGTTGGCTGAAGCTAATTAGCTCAGGGAAACCCAACTTTCCCAGTGTGATTTCCAGTGGATGCATTCACATTTTTCCTGCTATGTAATTGCATCCTTATACAGGAAGAGGGGGTTAGTATATCTGCTTTGAAAAGCCTGTTTTGACAAAGATATATGCTCCCCTTCCTGCTATCAATTTGCTTAGCAGCAGCCCCATGGTATTTCAAAATGTTGAACTGGCATTTCAGTCACTGGAGTAATAAAACCATTAACGACAGTTTGTTTGCAAACAGCCCATTTTTTGTACTAATCCCAAACACTGCTATTCCCAATCTCTGTCAGACTCTGAGGATTGGAAAATTAAGGATTGGAAAACTGAATGAAAAGAAGGCCTGAGAAACAGGGCAGGTAAAGGGGCAAGTAGGCCTGAGATGTAATACCAAATGAGGAAAATATGTATGAAAACTAAGTAGTGGACTGAAAAGTAAAAGCTTTGGAAAATAATGGGAAGTATATGCATAACACTGACATGCAGGTAGAGTAAGAAGACAATAGGAAGGAAAATGCTAAAACAGAAGAGCCTCAGAGGACAGTTAGGAGTACTGTACAATGAAAGAAATGAGGTCTTCCAAGGAGATAGAGACCTATGCTTTTTACTTTGCTTGTGTATGATCCAGAGTTAAGGTTGGGAGAGACATGTTTATTGATAACACTAGATTATTTGAAATTATAAGTACAAAAAGAAATTGGAAACAGCAAGTATTTGTCCAAGTTGTGTAAATGGGGAATAACATGGCAAATGCACACATTGGGGCAAAACCAGTCCTAACTTCTGAGCAGAGAGTGAGTACTTAGGAAAGGGGTTTTGGCTTCATAATGGATCTCGGCTTCAATGAAACTGCAAATCGTGTCTGCCACATCAATTAAAAACACGTTTTCCATAAGAATCATCAGGAAGCTGATGAAAGATATGGTAGTCATGACTTTACGGTGATGTGACCACACTTGGAGTACAGTACACAGTTATGGTATCTGCACTTCAGAAAGGATATTGTGGAGCTGAAAAGGTGCAGAAGAGGGCAATGAAAATCACCAAGGAACTGGAGGAATTTCCCAATGAGGAATGGCATTTTAGCTTGGGAATCAAAATATGAATAATACATCACAATTTCAGATAGTGATATGTTTTTGAATAATAAAATCCTGTATCATCCAATGAAGCTGAATGGTAAGGAAGCATTTCGCGCAGCGCATAGTTTTAAAAAAGAGTTTGCTTCTTTCTACAAGATGGAGAGATGCCCACCAATTTAAATGTTGTTAAAGGCTGATCAAACACATTACTGTAACTGATAAGAATATCAGGTACAACTGGTCATATAGATTATTAAGTAATGCAGCATCATTCCTCTGAATACCAGTCAAACAGAAGTTATTCTTCTGTTGATGAGATAGGCCTGTAGTCTGTTCTAGCAGGGCTCGTACTAGGGATGCATTTTTTTAGAATTAGTGAACTCCCAGTTCCATAATTCAGCAGGATACCCCTACAAGCCAAATTATGTGATTGGAAGCCTTCAAACTAGCTGGAAGTAGACCAATTCTCTTACCTCCATGCCATTTTTGCACTGCTTAATCAAATCATTAGAAAAGCCAGCCTCTGATGAAACATTATCAAAGGAATGCAGTAACTCTAGGACCATTGCTTTAGTTTCCTATACAAGCAAAGTTATGCTCCTTTGAAAAGGAAGCAAGAGGAAGACCAAATAACAGATGGATTGACTCTCAAAAGCAAGCCACAGACTTGCTTTTGTAGGTGCTGAGCAGGACTGTTAAGGACATGACATTTTGAAGATCACTTATTTACAGGGATGCCATAAATTGGCCACAACTTGATGTCACATAACAGCAACAATGGAACTTGCTTCTTTATGCAACTTTGTCAGCCACAAAAAATCTTTGTGACTAAATTATTTTTCATTAATTCTGAAAATTCTATCTCTAGAATTAGGTTTTTATGATCATTCTGTACTAATTTGAAATGTTATGCATATTGTACTTTAAATCATTATTAACATGCAGCTGCATTATATGTTATAACACCTTTTGTAAGATTATAACTTGTAGCATCCATACAAATCTAACAAAATAGGGAAAAAACACCTAGGTGATCAGTCAGCTGTTTGAACTTTCTTTCTTTCTAGATTACCGTCATAATGGGAGAGATCTCCAAAGCTCAACACTCTCAGTGCCAGAACAAGTGATGTCATCCAATCACTGCTCTCGGTCAGGGTCACCTCACCGTGGAGACAGTATAGGAAGGACTAGATCTTGGTCACCCAGCGTCCCTCCCCTTCAAAGGTAAATCCTTATATTACTTTTATTGTGGTTCTTTTTGGAATATAAAATGAAGTAGATTAGTTACTGAAACTAATTAATATAAATTCTAAATAATGTAAATGTGGAAAGTAAAGATTATGGCTAGAGGACATTTTGTTATGTTCATAATATAGTGTTCTGTATTCTTTGTAATTTAGCTCATATGAATCTATGAAATAATTTGTTTTGTTCAGTGTGGTGTTCCTTCATTTATATTTTTGAGATGCAAATATGAATTACACTATATGTTGTCTGTCTGTCTATCATTTCAGTCAATCAGTGTAGGAATATACAATTGTTATCTAGTTATTTAAACAAGAGCCATCATCCATAACTTTATTTAGGAAGTGAGCTGAGTTGTTAATGTACAATGCTTTTTATACTCCTTTACCACCTGCCACTGTCCATATGGGTTGCATTTCTTGTAGCTGAACTGATATTTTGTACTTGAATACAATAACAACACTGAAGCACAAAGGTGAAACAAACTGATATAAAGTGCTATTGTTTTGAATGACCAGTGTTTTCTGCTACCAAACACGTGCACACATGACACACACACAAAAACTTGCACATTTTTCTTGAGAGTTTCTAACACACTCTTTCATTTGCATTGTGATACCTTGTGTGTTGGAGTATTAGTGAGGAGCAAAGGTACTGCTAGCCAGTTTTCTTCATACTTTTGCCATTATGCCTTGGCATCTATTATGTTTGCGTAATTTTACCTTTTATGGTATAAAAGTTCCTCATCTTGTATGGCAGGTTCTTGAAACAATCACTTGGTAGAAGCTTTCATAGGATATCTGCTGTCATCTCCATACTAGGGTAGTAAAATATCTGGATGGTCCCCTTTTCAGTTGGGTCACTGTGAAGGAGTGGTAGACCCAAAGGAGAAAGAACAAAATGAGTGACTCGTCCCCTCAGCTAGAGACGTCTGAGCGGGAGAGAAATATAGAAGTAGAGAAGACAATGGAAAGTGAGGAGTTGAATGTGGAGGAAGGGAGCAGAAGGGAATCAAAGGGGAAAGAGAAAGTTGAAATCTGTCTAGTGGAAGAGAGAGAGGGAGAAGGAGTTAATTTTGCCCATGTGGGAGGAGGATATAGGGGAGCAAAGTGGGAGTAGACAGTTCAGTGTACCAAGGAGGGAGAAAAAGAAGGAAGGGGAGGAAAAGAGCGGTGATAAAAGAGAATACGAATATGATAGAATGTGTGGATTGTTGGAGGACTTCCCTAATTCGAAGGTAGGGGGGTTGCTACCTGACCCGGACAAGTCTAAAGAAAAGGGGACATCGGCAGAAGCTCTAGAATGGACGGTCGTGGTCTTTCCATGGGGACAAGGTCACTCGAGGAAAGTGATTCAGCTGGACCTTTCCTTCAGCCACCCACCACCGGAGGGAGATTGGGCCAGACACACTTGTTGTGGGACAATATGCATGGTCCGGAGTGCTCCGCTGAGGAAGCCCACTGATTGGGAACATTTTGGGCCAGCCCCTCAATGAATCTTGTGAATTTCCTGACAGAGTTATCACCCTCACAGTTTGGACAGTTACCAGATCTTAGTTGTTTTAAACCAATAAAAGTTGTTGTAGACTTACCTAATGTTAAACTAAATAAATCTGTTAATGTTCAAAAAGAGACTTGGTTGATATTCCCCGCCAAAAAGGAGGAACTGCTTCAGATCTTTAATGAACCCAGCCACAGCCACATACCAGGTGGTACCTGACTCCAATGTGTTTTGTGCATGTATTCATTTTCTCACTATGTGGCAGTTTAATGCAGCTCTGGTTGCCTTCCATCATTTGCACTGGCATCTCTTCATTTCTTACAGCAGCTTATTTGGCCATAGCAGTTTTCTGCAGGTGCCCGTTACAGCAATGAACTTTGATTCCGTGGAAGACAAAGCTATAAAATCTTAGTTCAATCACCATACGTCAGTGATTCCCACTCTGCGGTATGTGTACCTCCAGGGGTACAAACCAAGACATTTAGGGGTACTCAGAAAAAATGAATAATGGTGGGAAAAGGTATATACATCATCAGTGTAATTTGTTTATATTCTGAGCAGTGAGAACTCCTTTGACATCTTCTTTCTCTCCATCCACCACATGAGATCCCAGCCAATTGGCTTTTGTTCGAAGGCAGCATGTGTTCTTGTTCCACCACTAACCTGAGGGCTTGTGACCCTTTCCTTTCAGTGGCAGTTTGTACAGGACAAAATTCCTTACAGATTTTAGCCCCTTTGCTGGCATGCTTGTGCACACTGCTAGAGGCAATAAGGAAGCAGCCTGAAGACTAGCCCCACTGCATTAACATAAAGGGTTACATTTATACAAAAGGGCTTCCAAGAGGTATGCAAGTGAAAAAAAGCTTGGGAACCACTGCCGTACATAAACAGGAACCCACTGGTGAACTTATAGTCTGTGCTATCCTCTGTGCAGGCTGCATTTGTGTGTCCTATATGTTTTGGGTTTCTTCTTGCTAGCAGTCTTAGCATGTAGTTCTTTTCAAATATCTTTGATATTTGTGTTTTGACAGCTGTCTAATCATCCTGCATTGGTGAACTAACATTTCTGCTCAGTATCCCTACAGTAGTAGCTATATCAGGTCTATTGCTCCCCTACCTTGGGCCTCCAGATGTTCATGGACTACAATTCCCAGAAGCCTTCACTACTACCTCTGCTGGCCAGGATTTCTGGGAGTTGAAATCCAAGAACATTTGGAGGACCAAGGTTGGGAACCACCGTAGTAGTGGATGTTAGGTACAAATGCTTTCCTATAGCTCTTCTGTAGTTGCTATTGTTGGTAGAACTTTACTCTGCCTTTCAGAAAAACTCTTGCCATGTGTGTTGCAACAGTGTGAGTATCTTGGATGCCTAAGGTCTCCACAAGTTCAATGATCCTTTGGTTTTGGTTCAGTAAATATGAACCAACTGTGACACCCACTATTTTCAGGTTCATTACTTTATAACCTTTGATGCCAGGGTCATAGCCAAGCACAATAATCTGTTCTGTTCTAGAGTCCAGTTTGTACCTTTGCAGTTTTGGTATGTAGGCATATGCTAGGCTTCCAACTATATTCCATACTTGGCACTTTACTATGCCATAATTTAAATGGTGTTTTTGTGGTGTCTTTGGTTGTTAATCTGTTCTGGATATAAGTTGCAGTCATGATTGCCTCATACCAAAAGCTTTTAGGCAACTTGGCATCTGCAAGCATGCCCACTATTATCTCCAAAAGAGATCTCATTTTCCTTTTGATTGTTCCATTCAGCTCAGGAGTATGTCTGAAACTTGCCCTGTGCAAAATACTTTGTTCTTCCAGAAAGGCTTGTGTGTAGTGCAAGAGGTACTCATCACCATTGTCCATCTGAAATGCTTGGGTTTTCTTTCAAACTTGTTACTCACCATGGCCACATACATCTTTAGAATCTCATCTGTCTCACTCTTCCCTTCAGTAGATAGGACACAGTAGCTAGAAAAATTGTCCACAAATATAAAAACATATTTATTGTGTCCCGGTGATGGTATATTAAATTGCCTACATGGGTCACCATGTATTAGATCCAGCACCTGGTGCTCTTCCTCTCAGTTCTTAGTTGTAATGAGGGCCTAAAACCTTTTTCTGTGATACAGCTTATGCATCTGGCTGCACTATTTGCACCACGTGGCTTTACTTTGATATCTGTCGAGTGTGTTTCTCCAATTTGAGCATTGCCTTTGAATCTCTGTGTGCGAAGTGATGGTGTCAGAGCTCCAGATGGTGTCATTGTCCCTTTGGATTTGTGCTGTGTTAGTTTAATAGTCTAAAAGATTCAGTTTGTTGATACCATTAGATTTAAGAGGTCGAAATACACATCACTATTTTTCTTTACTATGCAGTTTCCATTTTCAATATATACAGAAAAATCTTTGTCATCTAGGGTTGAAGTACTTGTTGCATTGCAAATCAGGAAGATATACAGCATCACTTAGATATTGACATGATTTAATTGGACAATTCGCATCAAACCTCAGTTCGAATTCCTTCTAGAGTCATCATTGGCTGTGCCACCAGCATTCCCTTCTAGTTTGAGAAAGAATTCTCTTATGTATGTGGAGTGCCTGGCACATCCAGGATCAGTGATACAATCATTTGATTTTTGTTCAAGATTGTAAGTTGTGCAAGCTCTCTCTTTAAAACCATTCAGACAGGCTTTCTCTTTTGTCTTTCTCATAGAATCAGTTTTCACATATTTTCTGTGATCTTTTATCTCACAACTGGCCTTGCTATTTTTGCCTGCAAAGTCTTTGGGGGACTGACATTTTTTGATTTGATAGCCTTTCCCACCACAGTTCCAGCAGTAGGGTGATTGGCTCCCAGGTGGGGTCCTTTTATTGTCCTTTCTATCCACTAGGTAATTTGAGCCATTATCTTCCAAGACTGATTTAGGATGATGCCTTTGGTCTGTGCACTCCTCTCTGAGGCAGCTTAGGGTTTTTCCTAAGCTTAATTCCTTTCCATTCAGAATCAAAATAAAACTATCAACGTTTCCATCAACTGATGCTAAAAAGAAGCCTCTCTTTTGTTTATCATCTAAGTTAAAACCAGTAAGGCTTAAGTTAGTAAATATAGTTAGTAAAGCAATGTGTTTTTCATAGTATTTCTTAGAATTAAGCCTCAGTCTCATGAGTTCTCTGTTCTAGACAGCTTGTTATTTAAAACTGGTAATGCCATACGATTTCTCTAGGGCGTTTAACATTACTTGCACTTCTATACACTATTTGCTGATCCAATAGACCTTCATGGATTAGAGCTTTTACTACAGAATCATTTTTCTTCATTAAATGATTCCTCCTTTGATGAGAAATTGTATCATGAGGAAACTGTTGCTGTAGAAAGTTAGATAAAAGCTGCTCTGAAAACACTTGGAAGAAATAAATCACCAGGGATAGATGGGATGCTGATAGAACTATTTCAAGCCACAGGGACTGAATCTGTCAGAATCCTAACAAGAATATGCCAACAAATGCTGAAAACAAAACCATGGTCCACATAATAGCAATATTCAATATATATTTCAGTCCCCATGAAAGGAGATGTCAGGGAGTGCAGTAACTATGGGGACATTGCTCTAATTTACCATGCAAGCAAAGTAATATTCAAAGCATTGCAACAAAAGCTTTTACCTTACACGGAATAAGAAATATCTAATATTCAAGCTGGATTCTGAAAATGAGGAGTCACTTGAGATAATATTGCAAATATCTACTGACTGTTGGAGCACATCAGAGAATTTCAGAAGATCAGTCTATGATTTATAGACTACAGCAAAGTTTTGACTGTATGGGTCATGAGAAACTATGGATTGGTCTGAAAGGAATGGGTGTGCCTAAGTACTTAATTGTTCCACTGTGTAACCTGTATTATGGACAAGAAGTTACTGTTAGGACAGAATATAGAGACAAAATGGTCTCGTATAGGCAAAGATGACAGACAAGGGTGCATTTTATCTTCCTGACTGAATCTAGCTGGACTAGATTCAGAAGAGGGAAAAGTAAAAATTGGAGGTAGAAACATACGCATATGACACCATCTTACTGATGGAAAGCAGCAATGATTTGAAATGACTTTCAGTGAAAGTGAAAGAAGAATGGGCTAGGATTGCGACTGATCATTAAAAAGGGAAAAATCATGACTATGTAAGAACTATATGGCTTCAATGTTGACAATGAAGAAATTGAAATAATGAAAGATTTGGCATAGTTCAGCGTAATCAGGAATCCAAATGGAAAGTGCAGCCTAAAAATCACAAGGAGACTGAGACTCTGAAGGGCAGCAATGAAAGAATTAGAAAAGATGTAACTGAAGTGTAAAGATGTGTTAATGGAGCCAAGGCCAAGTTCTTTCACACTATTGTATTTCTAGTTACTATGTTGTGAGTGTGGAAGCTGGACAGTGAAGAAAACTGGGAGAAAGAGAATTTAATTTCAAAGTTTGTGGTTTTCCATCAATATATAGACAGTCAGCCACCCAACTTTGCTATAGAAAGCCATGTTAATATGAAGAGTTAAATGTTGTATACTTTCTTTAAAAGATAAAAACACATAAGATGAATGTGTGAGTTGTGTTGCATATAACAGTGAGGTGATTTTGGTTCATGACAGAAGGGTATATAAATAATCAGGACACAGATATTTCAGCCTTCCATACTAATGCTTCAAGTCTGAGTCTAGTTTTCCCAAAATTTCCTCCACAGCCAGAAACCCTTGAAGCTTCTTTTATATGTTTTGTTTGCAGTTTGTGCAACTTTTTAGACCATGAATCACATGTCAGCTTTTACATACGATACCATGAATGAAAAAGTGGGGAAATATAGCTGCTCTGAACATATTGTGTCAGAGGCAAGGATGTTAAAGGTTACAACTTCCTTACAATCTTCCTTAACAAGGTTTATATTGGAGATTTACATAAGGGAATTGGTTATTTCCCCCTCTATGACATTGATGATTTTGTTTCTTCAGTAGGAATGTGGAACAGGGGTCTCGAGGGACCCGATCTACTCCTGCTCATTACAATACCATGAACCGAATGGATAGACATCGAATAATGGATGACCGCAGCTCCCCAGACAGAGAGAGGTAGATATTATGAAGTAACAGACTAAAAAATGGAAACAATACATTTCAGGCAAAGGAGTTTGCTATTTACACATAAGCCTCTCCATTTACAAAAATAACAAAAAAACAGTGGTCTCTCAGAAATTATTTTTGTTATTGTGCATTGCATACTACGTATATCAGTAATTCTATGTAATGTTTTCTCTATCAGAAGAGCTTGAGGAAGACAACAGAGAAGTACATTTTAGCTGAGAAGTACATTTTTAGCTGAGTAGTGGAATTGATTCAACTTTAGGCCCTTTATCTTCATATATATGCAAGTGTTGGAATAATAACTATGACTTATTTTAACAGTAGTGTTCAGTTAGTTAGAAATATTCACACATCAATTACTTTGATTTTTCTAATTTTCTACTCTATGTTTTTATGTAATATTTAAGGAAATTAATATTCTATACTGCACTATCTCCTTGCCCTGAGCTATCCAAAAACAAATGGAAGATATTTTAAAAACCTCCAAGTGCTAGCAGAACCATCATTTTCAAAAAGACAAATAGTTTTTTAATTTGAACAATGTAGTTCCTTTTTATTTGACCAAACTCTGGGATGCAATGGAAGACAGGAGGGCCTGGAGTGCTCTGGTCCATGGTGTCACAAAGAGTCGGACATGACTTAATTACTAAACAACAACAAGTTCCTTTTTAGAATCTTCCAATGAATCTCAGGGTGAAAATGTGATTAGTCCACTTGCGCAAACATTTGTGGTAGATTTTTGCCTCTACAATAGAGAAAATTGTATCTTTAATTTTAAACTTTTATATAAATTTTGGGATATGGGCTTTTAACAGTGAATGGCAGTGTTTTCTATTGGGTTTGTTTTGTTAGGACATTTTAAACAGTTATGATTGAGGACTCTTTTATAGTGAGCTCAGATTGATTGATTGATTGATTGATTGATTGATTGATTGATTGATTGATTGATTGATTGATTGATTGATTGATTGCACTTATATACATTGATACATCCGAGATGCAGATGTATCAACATCTTGGAATGTTAAGAAACTAGTAGAGTAGAGATGAAAAAAATATCATTAAATATTTTTGTTAAAATTGTCTACATTCGTGTGAAAAAGAAAGTACACCCTAATTGAATTCTATGTTTTTATGTATCAGGACATAATAAAAATGGTCTGGTCCTTAGCAGGTCTGAAAATTAGGCAAATACAACCACAGATGTACAGCAACACGACATATTACACCATGTCATGATAAAATTAAGCCAAAATGGAGAAGCCATGTATGAAAAACTAAATACAGTTTACGATTCAGCAGCTTGTGGAACCACCTTTAGCAGCAATAACTGGAAGTAATTGTTTTCTGTATGACTTTTTCAGTCTCTCACATCATTGTAGAGGAATTGTGGCTCACTCTCCTTTACAGTGTTGCTTCAGTTCATAGAGACTTGCAGGCATTTGTTTATGTAGAGCTCTCTTAAGGTTTTGCCACAGCATTTCAGTTGGGCTGAGGTCTGGATTTTGACTGGGCCATTGCAATACCTTGATTCTTTTATTTTTCAGCCATTCTGTTATAGGTTTATTTGTGTGCTTGGGATCATTGTTCTGTTGCATGACTCAATTTCAGCCAAGCTTTAGTTGTCGGACAGATGCCCTCACATCTGACTCTAGAATACTTTGGTATACAGAGCAGTTCATGGATGACTCAATAACTGCAAAGTGCCCAGGTCCTGTGGGTGCAAAACAAGCCCAAATCATCACCCATCCACCGCCGTGCTTGACAGTCTATAAGAGGTGTTTGTGGTGATATGCTTGTGTTTGGCTTTCATCAAATGTGGCACTTTGCATTATGGCCAGACATCTGCAGTTTTGGTCTCATCTATCCAAAGTACATTGTTCCAGAAGTTATTGTGGTTTGTCCAAATGCAACTTCACAAACCTAAGCTGTGTTGCCATTTTTTTAGAGAGAAGAAGCTTTCTCCTGGCAACCCTTCCAAACGAACAACACTTGCTCAGTCTTTTTTTAAATTGTACTATCATGAGCTTTAACATTTAACATGCTAACTGAGGCCTGTAGAGTCTGGGTTTCTTTGCAATTTCTCTGAGCATTACATGGTCTGATCTTGGGGTGAATTTACTTGGACATCCACTCTTGGGAAGATTGGCAACTGTCTTGAATGTTTTCCATGTGTGAACAATCTTCCTCACAAATAATGGATTTTAAATTGTTTGGAAATGGCCTTATAAGCCTTCCCAAATTGATGGGCAGCAACAATTGCTTTTCTTCAATCATTGTTGCTGTGTTTCCTCCTTGGCAGTCTGTTAACACACACACCTGAATGCTCCAGACCAAGCAACTGCTGAAACTCTGACTTTTAGAGAGGTGGTCACACTTGCTGATGAACAGTTACTCAAAGGCATTTGGTTAGCAGCAACTGGCTGCTGCTTAGCGTCTTAATTCCTATGAAAGCAGTAAGGATATAGTTAGTTTTCCACACATGGCTTCCTCATTTTGGCTTTATCTTTGTAAAAAAAAAAAAAAATCATAACATGGTGTAATATGTCATGTGTTGTTGTTAATCTGAAGTTTTATTTGCTTAATTTTCAGACCTGCTAAGGACCAGATTATTTTTATTATGTCCTAATATGTAAAGCCAGAAAATTCAAAGAGGGTGTACTTCGTTTTTCACATGACTGAAATATGTGATATGTGCGGTTCTGAACGTATGCATGTATTTTGATTTACGATCATTAGGAAGAAATAGAAAGTGTCAAATTCTTTTTTCTTTTCCAAATGCATGTAAATTACCGTATGTTAGGAAAAAAGTACATGCTCAAAAATGGCACAGAAACGACTTTCGTAGAAAAAAATCATGAAAAGGCAAACATTATGAAAAATCCGTTAAGTGTGTACATTGAGAAAGGTTGAGGCCAAAATATGTCCAGATTTCCAAGCAGGAAAAACAAGAACAAAGCTCTTAGATATAACTCAATACAAAATAAGGACATGAAGAAAATGCAGATATAGAACAAAAGAAAATCAAAGTAGATCATTTTCCACATTGACTTGGGTTAGTGAAAAAGGCATTTAACACATTTACTTATTTTAATTTTACAACATAGGGTCCTATCGAATGTGGCGACAGGTTGTTTTTTTCTGGCAATCACACAACATAATCACTAGAATGAACTAAAATGTCCCTAGAATGGTTTGACCTGCACCTTTCTGAGCCCCTGGCATGGACTTGCACTTTTTGGTACAGATAACATCTCTCTGTTTTGTCCTTTTCTAGCATATGTGATCACTGCTAAGGGATCAAAAATGAGATTTCCCAGCAGTCAAGGCTCCTTCCAGTTTGAATTTATGATATTATTGAAGTGGCTTGCTTACTAAACCACTGCATTATATTGGAAGGAGACAGATCAAATAGGATGGTTTGAACTCTGATATGCCATTTGGATGTGGAGATTGCATCAAATGGCAAATTGCAAGTCTACCCAACAACAAAAGGGGCTTCTCCATATTGAGCCAGTGTAGATAAGCCCTATATAATTTGCATACCATTTTATATCACCACATATGACAAGGCACTTCTATACATGGCACAATCTTACAAGCAGTATTTTAAAAGTTGAATTTCAAATAAGAGGGATAATTTTAGTCTTTCTTATATTGTTATGTTTCAAATAGAATTGATTATTTCAGGCTGTTTGGGTTAGTTGCAAGAATTTCTAATTATAAGTGATGGAACCAGAATCCACTGCTGGCAAATTTTACTTTATTTCATAAATTTAATGTCATTGCCTGTCATGAAATAATATGTAAACACAACTCAAACTGGTTGTTGTGGGTTTTTCGGGCTCTTTGGCCGTGGTCTGAAGGTTGTTCTTCCTAACGTTTCGCCAGTCTTTGTGGCCGGCATCTTCAGAGGACAGCACAACTCAAACTCTTTTTCACTAGCATGTTTCTATACATGCAGAAAGATTTCTGTAGATGTTTGCTTCTGGATGCAGCCTCAAATAAAAAGGCATTACTGTTCGAGAGTATCTCTACCCCCCCAAGCATTTTTACAGGGGATATAGGATCTGGAAAGAGAAAGGGAAACTGGACACATTTTAGTGTATGCACAAAACACAAACCAAATGGCCTCTGTGAATGCACACAGGACCTCTCGGACGTTTCTAGAGCTTAAAGACATGTGATTAGTGGGACATTCCCCTGTGGACACTCCCCTGTGGAGTGCATGCTCCACCTGCCAGAAGTTCCCTCAGTTCCTTTTAGCCACCACTTCAGTTTGACCTATTTTGGAGACCTAGAATGATTGAACAATTCTTGAGATCATTACTTTGTTTTCTCTTCTCGATCATCACCGTTATTTGGATGTTTCCCCTGTGAGTTTATCCATTTCCTTTTTGAATCAATTCCACCCATATTTTCTTCTCCCCGTGGTTTTCAATTCCCCCCACTACCACCTTTCCCCCCCTTCCCCCTGGTCTTTTATGGCTTCCCCCGGGCCTTTCAAGCGGTGCATCCTCTGCACAAATAAGATCCCACTCACTGACGGTCACAACCGTTGGCTCTTCTGTCTCGGAGAGCAGCACCAAACACACTCTTGCACTGAGTGTAAAAAGCTCACAAAACCTGATATTAAACTGCGACTCCAGAGACTCTGTTCTTACCTTTGGGAGAAATCACTTAATCCAGCCTCTATGGACTCTGCGGCATCTCCTAATCCTCGCCCAGAGCATCGGGAAACTCCTTGACCAATTTCCAGCCTGACAACTTCTTCACCTTGTCCGAAGGATCAGTCAAAGTCAGCATCGAAATCAGGCTCAGCATCGACGTTGAAGGCTCCAGCCTGCTGTCATGACTCTTCAAAAAAGAAGAAGGATACAACTAAACCAAAGAATACCAAGAAGCCTACAAAACCGGCACAAATAGACCCACCCCAATCGGTGCTTCCATCACCAATATTGGAAGAGTAATCTAGAGATGCCCCGGGT